CAACCAAAAATCAGAATACAGAAGATTTAAACTGTGATTAAATGTCGTGATTAATAAGACTGACTTAATGACAAAACTAAACTGTTCTATTTAGGGATACATACATGGATCGTCAAACTGTAAGGAAAAGCAAATGATAATCACAAAAATTAGAACTGTGGTTGTTTCCAGGGTAGAGGGAGGGAGCTGTGATAGGGGAAGAGCATATATAGGTTTCCAGGGAGCTGGAAATATTTCACTTCTTGACCTAAGTAATGATTACATAGAGTTAACTTTATAATGATTTCCTGTCAACTTTTTTGTGAAGACAGACATATTTTAGGCTTTTCAGGCCACATATCCTCTCTGCCGTATAATTCTTTGTCTCTACAATTCTAAAAAATCTAAAAATCATTCTTAGCTTGACAGCTGCAGGCTGGAGTTTACCAACTCATGCATTAAAATGCTCATGTTTTATATAATTTTTGTCTTTAACAAAAAATACAAAAGAATCACTTAGAGGTTAAAAAGCTAAAGTAATTATTTATCTCTCTATTCTTCCCTTTCAATAAACAGTCCTGAGTACCCACTATGTACCAAGCATTGTTTTGGGGTGTTTTAGAGACTGAAAATTGAACAAGATATTATCTTGTCAAGATAGTCCATGTCAAGTGGGGGAAATAGTTAAAATAATTACACCTTTATGTAATAAGTACTGTGAGAGAGGGAAACAGCAGTAAACAAAACAAAGCAGAGCCCTTGTTCTCATGGGATTAACATTCTACTGGGAGAAGATGGGCCACAGATTAATTGTATAGTTAAAAATTAATATACAAATTATATAACTTATTAAATGAAAATTTATTAAAATGATACCACACACCAATGACAATGAATGAGCTACAATAACACACCACATTATGGATGAATCTCACAAAAGTAGCTGAAAGAAAGAAGCCAGACACGAGAATATATACTGTATGATTCCTTTTATACAAAGCACACAAACACAGAAAAACCTCATCTGTGTTGTTAGAAGTCAGGATAGTAGCTATTCTACATGGCAGGGAGAAGGCAAGGGAGCATAAGGGCGATTTCGGGGCGGGGGTGGGGGGTGGAGGGGGGCTGGTAATATTTCATTGCTTGTGCTGGTACAGGTTTGTGAAAATTCATTAAGCTTAAGACTTCTATGTGTACTCTTCTATATGTATAAATAGGAATCAATGAAAAAATTTAAGTATATATCAAAATTTAAATATATGTCAGGTGGTAATAACTAAGAATTAAAATAAAGCAGGATTAGGAACACAGTGACAAAGCGCAAGAGACTGCTTATTTTAAAGTTGGCCAAGGGAGACCTCTCTGATAAGGTCATTTTTGAGCAATAACCTGATGAAGAGATTGCTAATCATGCTGTTCCTGGAAGAAGGAATAGCAAGTACACATGCCCAAAGCAAGAGTGCTTTGCAGTGTTCAAGGAACTTCAAAGAGGCCAGCATGGCTGTGGTGGCGGGAGGGAGACGGAGAACAGTTGCCGATGTCAGAGTCAGGTGGGTGGGGGAGCACAGGTCACATAGGAGCTTCCAGACCATGTAAATCTAAAGCAATGCGGACTAGTCATTGGACAGTTTTGAGCAGGAGGAGTGCGTGGATCTGTTTAAACTTTTTAACAGAAATAGAAATCATTCTATACTGAGAATAGGTGAGAGACGGGCAGAAATAAGGAGACCACTTTGGAGGCTAATGCAGAGAACCAGAAGAACAAAAAAGTGGTCAGATTCCATTTAAAAAAAAAAAAAAGGATTTACTGATGAATTAGATGTGGGGCATGAGGTTACGACTCGAAAAATTGGACGGAGCAAACTGTCATTTACCAGGACAGGGTAGACTGCAGGAAAAGTGGTTTGTTGTTGTTTTGGAGGTGAAGGGTAAGCAAGAGTTCCTCAAGAGTTCCTTTTTGGACATTTGTAAGCTGCCCATTAGATATATAAGGGGAAATGTCGAGTAGAGAAGTGCACATCTAAGGATCAGGCAGGCAAGCTTATTCATTCTAAAAGGCAGATATGAATATGGCTGCAAGGAGCTCAGTAGATTTGGTGTGGGAGCATGTGAAAACTCTCTTCTGACTGCTTCTATTTTCTCAGTCAATAAAAAAGCAAAGCCAGGGGCCGGCAGAGTGGCTCAGGTGATTAAGAGCTCGCTCAAGAGTTTGAGCTCTGAGCAACAGCAGTTCGATTCCCGGCCCGAGCTGAGCAGCCGCTGAGCTGCCAATAGGTGGCAGGATGGCTCAGCTTAAAACAAAACAAAACAAAAACAAACAAAAAAAACCAAACAAACAAAAAGCAAAGCCATCAGTTGAGATAGTGGAGGGGGAAGGAAGTGTTGCTGGAGGCTTGCAGTAAATGACAAAACTATGATGTATTCATATAAATATTCATCTAGGAAAGGGAACTAACTAGGGAGATACAGTAGGACTGGCAGGCGGCTAGGAGTGCACATGAGGTCGGTGAGGCCTGCCAGCACGTGTGTTTTCCTCTAACCATGCTGAGCTGCCTAGAGGCAGGCAAGGGAAAGGTGGAGAATTAGATTTAACCAGGGTTGGGTTTCTTTAGGCAAGTATGATAGAAAGAGAGTGGGGAAAGGGAACTGAGGGCATACACAAATCAGTGATTACAACAATGAAGCACAGAATCTAAACTGAGAGGATAAAGTGCTTCTCGGTGCAACGGAAAAGGAAAGTTACAGCTTGGTTCCTATTTAGATTTGCACATCGATAATGAGGCCCAGCCGCCATCCATACAGCTGGCAGAAATGTCTACAGATCACTGAATACATCTCTTTCATCTTCAAGTAAGACTTGACCTAAATTGACGAATGATAGATGGGTGGTCACACTATTAAAAACCAAATGAGAAAATATATACTTCAGGAAGAAGAGAGTAATAGACAATAATATTCTCTAAAACGTATTTGTCCCAAATAGATAATTCTGCAATCTCATTTGACATTTTTAGAGCTTTAATTGGTTTAAAACTTAACAAAAATAAAGACACAGGCCTCTTAAACAGTTATCTAACCTCAACCTAACCAGATTTACACATCAAACACTTCTAACATTTTAAAACATGGCAAGGATGACAAAATAATAGCAGAAATTTCTAAGCTGAATACATTTTCATACGTGCTTTAATAATTACAATAACCCTAATGAATGCATGTTTTTATGATAGCAGAGGGGAATAAGAGCATTTTTAAATACTTTAACAATACAGAAGACTAAATCACTTAGGAAAAGAGTAGTATTAACCAACTCTGCTGAGGCAGAGAAAAAAAGCACTTTCCTAAACAGACAGACACCTAGGATAAGAACTCGTGATCTTAGGGAGACCCCTTGTCCCCCAAGACCCCACAGCAATACCTGAGGCATCAGTGGACATGACACACTCTTGAATACAGAGATGCTGTACTGTATCCATTAATTATTCAAAGGCACTCCAGCAAATTGACACAAAATCCTACATTAGCTAACTCAGGGATTCTCAACCTCGGCACTAGTGACATTTTGGACCAGAGAATTCTTTGTTGTGGGGGCCTGTCCTGTGCATTGCAGGATGTTTACAAGCATTCCTGGCCGCTGCCCACTAGATGCCAATGGCACCAACCCCTCACCCCTAGTTGTGAATAAAAATGACTCCAACATTGCCAAATGTCCCGAGAGACAAAACTACCCCATGAGAACCACTAACTTAGCTATAATGGTTTTAAGACCTTCAGATCTCACTTACAGGCAGGAAACAAACTTATCTCAAATTTGTATAGCGTTTCCTTCTCTACTACATCACTGATTAAGCCTTGAAAGTAATTCAAACGCCAGAAGCTAACCAAATTTTTTAAAAACAGAATTTAATTATAGGAACATATAAGTTTGGCAAGGATAAAAACCTACTGTTTGGATTGGAAATCACTACCTTGACAGAACACTGAGCTGTAGAATTAGAGGCAATTTACTATACTGTGAAAATAGGATTAACACTTGTAAAACGTTAATTTACTGACATATAGATTTGAATCCAAGTGATTTAAGGGTAATACTAAGAACTTTTCTCCTTAATGCCTCATTCCCGTTGGGTAATTAATGGAAGAGAAACTTTGCTTGAGTGTTCCTGGGTTTCTTGTCTCCTACAACAGGTGTCAAATCTCTCCAGGTGAATGCTTACCGGTAAGGGATTGGATAAGGAATGTTGCGGTGAGGATCGTGCAACTGGTGGAACACTTCTGCCAGGGCTGGTTCCTGGCCCGCTTCCCCCAGCAAACTGGCCAACAGGGAAAAATGGATATGAATAATTCAAAACAGTATTGTGCTTCAGATAAGGAGAGTAAAAGATTAATACACAAACAGGTCTTAATCATATATGGCCCCTTTAAGTCAATACATCTTATTCTAGAAAGAAAATACCATGTAAGTCAAATTTGGCTATCTTTTCAACAAGATTTCTAAAGAGCTCCAGCAGAAATGTACCAAGATATAAAGAAAACATGGCTAGAAATGGTTTTGAAAAACATAAGAGAAGAATGTTTTCCCTTCTTGTCTCAAAACACACAAAGCAGGAAGACAGTGGTACAGGGCGTGCTAGTGTCTTCATTAGTAACCAACACCGATGGGTCAGTGAGCTCACTACGTGTTCCATTTGACTAAAGGGAAGAGGACAAAAGAAGAGTTCAAGTCACTCAACTTCAATCTGTGTAAGACACGAAACCTAGTCTGGCCAAGAGAAAAATCACCTCATTTGTGAATTTTTATATCATCACAGACAAGACACTTCATAATCAAATCTAAATTTAGGAAGCAGCAGTTTCCTCTCATAGATAGGGCGGCATTAGACTGATGAAGATGGGAAGCAAGGAGAGGGAGGCACAGGAAAGGCACAAGATTGCTTTCTAAAGCCTTAAATGAATGCAAGAATTTAGGTTTTAATAAAAAATCACTATAGTTTTTTTTTCCCCAAAAAAATTTAACTTACCTCAAAGTAATCACTAATTTTATGTCCCCTAGGAGTGCCTTTCCCTGAAAATGAAACCAAAGTAAGTACAGTTTTTCCAGTGATACATGTAAACCATCATTCATTAAAATGCACTATGTGTTCAATAACTGTATACGTTATCAAGTGCCAGCTTTACTTTTTAACAAATGAGCCAAAATACCTATGTCCTAAGAACAGAGATGGTTTCCTCCATATAATAAAAGACTGAATAAGCAGTGAAAGACTTATTCAGAGCTTGTTTTCCTTCAAGATTTGCTCATCTTTCTTTTATAAATACACTAACAAAACATATGCCACAACTGTGAATCAAAATAAAACTAATCTAGGGCCAGCCGCATGGCTCAGTTGGTTAAGATCTCGCTCAAGAGTGTGAGCTCTGAGCAACAGCGGTTTGACTCCCAGCCTGAGCTCAGCTGCCACTGAGCTGCCAACAAGTGGCAGGATGGCTCAGCTAAAAAAATAAATAAAGAAAACTAATCTATAATCTACGCCTCCAACTAAGAGAACAAAGAATTCAAAACAAACTCATCAGAGCTATAGGGTTTACTCTATTTCACAAAAAACTTGATGTGACCATGTCACTTTGGGAGAAGTCACCCCTCCTAAAGTAAAAAATGGTTTGTAGATTAAAAAAACAAGACAAATGTAAAAAAAGACTGTGAATTCTACTTCTTAGAGGTGGAGAGAGGGGCAAAGCTAAACCATTTATTCTTTCTTTAACTATATAGAGATGTTTGGCATTAGAACCATCATATTATAGATTTATTCCACTTGGGTGCCAATGTTCAGCTAAATAATTAACATGGAAAAATAGTAGGTGGAAATGACAGCCAGGTAAAAATAAAACCATTTCTGCTCGCCTATTATTGACAAATCACTGATCTAATGCAAGACATAGTTAAAACTCCAGTGTAACCTCTTTTCTGTACAATACATGCTTAGTCTGAAGAAAACCTGTGGTGAGATCGTTAACTTACAACAGAGAAAACAACAGTCCCCAAAGAACTGACACTTGTGTCAAGTGTATATCAAATGGCAAGTCTATAATAAACAGCCTGATATTCCCTTAAGGTACACAATCTCCTTTGTTAGGAATCTCTGTATACAAACTAATTATTTAGTGTGAGTTGGAAAATTCTAAGTACATAAAAATGTAGTATTTTTATTGGTGAAATTATTACTACCTTGGCTAGTTTCATACGGTTCAGCTTTTCTTTTCCGGTTTCGCTGGTCATTCTGTTTTTTCTCAGGAGTCTGTTAAATACCATATACATCACAATTAGCATTCTGTCATATTTTTCACGTTATGAAAATGAAAAAGTATGTACCAAATATCAAATTTATAAGGAGATTTAACTGGCACAGACAAGTCCTAAGTCAGTATCCTACTCTTAGAGCAAGTTATAGAAATAGTTCGAGGTCTGGAACCAAACCATCTGGATAATTTTTGGCAAACTGCCTAAAATATCAGCACTTCAATTTACTTATCTGTAAATCAGGGCTGCTGCAAAGCTGAAATAAAATAGTCTATAAAGCACAAATGTAGTACAATTATCTAGCATATAGTAGGCTCACAGAAATATCCTAATAGCTGCTGTCTACTTTATAAGAGCTTAAATCCAATTCCTTTTTTCCAAAAAGGAAAGATCTGCATAATCAATCAACTGGCTCTAACTTATTGAAAGTTTTATCGAAGTGTAAATAGGTGGGTGCAGATTTGGCCCCATATGCATGCAGCTAGGTTATACTACTTCACTAACCCACTCAGTTGAAGTACTGACAAGTATTAAAATTCAAGCGCACCTTAAGCTAATTCAGCTACAACAGCACATTTTTGTCCTTTATTGATGACAACTAAGCAAAAGTTTTTTAAAAGAAAAAAAAGAAAGACAACCAATACATGATTATAATAGTAAAACCCATCAGAGCCACATCACAGCTGTACAGACCTAAGAGCACACAACTCACACTAACAGCCCCCCTGGAGTTCTGCGATCTTTTAGCCTAGACTGAAAGTGTGGGAATATGAAAAGTCTTTCAATGGATATGGCTCTTACCTCTACTTCTTTATCACTCAAGGATCCCACGCTGCACAAGCTCTGGTTTGAAGACTCACTATTGAGTGGCCCCTGGAAAGGAAAAAAAAAGGAATAAAAAAAAAAACGAATTTGAGATGGCAGCAAAACTGAGGAATAAGCCTGCTGACTTTGATGTCTAAGTCAAGAGGTAAGAGGCCAAGAGTAACTGCGACACCTCCAAGCCAACTGGAAAAGAGCTCAATCAACTGAGTTCATGCTAAGATTCTCTAGCTGCTATTATTTTCATTTCCTTCACAAACGCTATACTCATGTGCAGATTTTCCCTTCTAGAGTACTTCCACATGCAGTGAATTCATTCTTTAAGGAAAACAGGCAGGAGAAATCAATTCTCTCGGCCTCTCGTATCATACAGGTAATATCTGAAAGTTGAGGGCTCCTTTTGAGGGAGTAGTCAGGGACCATAATGAAGGAAATGCTTTTCTGTGTCATGTTTAAGGAGGCATGACTGCTAGCTCAAAAAACAAAGTTACAAGAGATTGACTTCTGGCCTAATAGCATGAGGAGCTCTGCTAGCTTGCTCCTCAATGAAATTGGTGAAAATTATTTTTTTATAAAAATAAAAAACATACACACACGCAAACATTCAAATTCAAAGCTCCTGGAAATGGTCCCAAAGGGCAAACAGCAAATGAACAACTATTCAATAAAAATCTATGAAGATTCAGTCTGAAAGGTGAAAGCCTGTGATATTTGAAACAAGACCACCCCCTCTTTTCCCCTCCCATCTCAGCAAGGCCCCAGACCGCTGTAGCCAGGACACAGGGCTCCCTCGTCCCTCAGCCTCTTAGGTGAAGCAGGACTTCAGGTTTCTTATCCTGTCCCCAGGCTCCTATGGCTGAGGCCAAGTCCCAGGCAAATGCATCACAGGCAGTGGGTTCCCTTCTGCTTAGCCCTCACCTGTGGAACAGAGGCTCCATCTCAGACATGCTACACTGAGAATACTGGGACCCCAATAGCTCTTTCACCCAGCTCATGAGGTGGTGGTTCCACACCAAGAGAGTGCAGGCAGCATCCCCACCCTCATCCTCACCAGGGCTCAGTTCCTAGAGCCAGAAGGTCACTCACAGAAAAGCTCACCATTATCCCCACCCCCCAGCTCCAGAGCCCTGGCTCAGATATTTTGCCTCAGAGGTTAACAGCAGGAACATGTAGCCCAAAATCTCTTCCAAAGGCCCTGACTTCATTCCCAAGCGTGTGGACAAATTTAAGTCTAAGGGTGTTCTCAAGTTGAGGTTGTAGTAAAAGGCAATAGGAAGGAGATTCATGGATGTAATGAAATACAGCCTCAACTGTAGGCCAGCTAGTTCACAGGAAAGAACCTGGGAACAGGACATCTGGGAGGAGTCCTCCTGGGGTCAGTACAGGCGGCAAACACTGACCTCAGAAACTCCTCCTTCCAAGTAGACGGGATTTGATTGGATTAGTTTGTGCAGGAATGTATGCCTCAGTGCATTGTTGAAAACAATAGAACAATCTGGGCCACTAGTGGAGTTTAACAGCTGGGTTGGTCAGGGAAAGAGGAGTACCAGTCAGCCCAAGGTGACTGTAGGCATATCCTAAAGCTGTGCATCCCTGAGGAGCACCACCTGGAGGCCTGACACTGTGGAGACCGGGTGGTAGAATAGACTTCACTATAATGATCCAGCCAGTCACTGAACAAACAAACAAGCAAATAACAATAACAAGCCCCAAGGGATGGGATGAGAAATCAGTACCCAGGGCTGCTACAATATATCATCTAAAATGACCAATTTCCAACCAAAAAAATCATGAGGCATACAAAGAAATAGGTAAGTAAGACCCATATTTGGGAAGGTGGGGGGTGGGAGGGAGCAGGGAAAAGGCAGACAAAAGACACTGCCTGTGAGAGTGACTAGATGTTGGATTTAACAGAAAAATATTTCAAAACAGCCATTATTAATATGTTAAAAGGAAACCATAATTACAATTAAAGAAGCAAAGAAAGGCATGGATGACAATGGTGCATCAAATAGAGAACACCAATAGAGACATAGAAATTATATATATTAAAAACAAAACAAAACCAAATGGAAATTCTGGAGTTGAAAACTACAATAATGAATTAAAAAATGCACTAGAGAGGCTTAAGAGTAAAATTGAATGGGCAAAAGAAATAATTAGCAAATTTGAAGATAAGTCAGTAAGAGATTATGGAAGCTGAAAAACAAAAATGGAAGAAAAATAAACAGAACTTCAGAGAAAAGTGGGAAACTGTTAAGTATATCACCATGGGGCCAGCCAAGTGGCTCGTTGGTTAAGAGTTGGCTTGGGAGTGCAAGCTCTGAGCAGCAGGGCCCCAGTTCGGATCCCACATGCGGGCCAGTGACGCTGTGTCCTCTACAGCTAAGATGGTGAACAACAGTTCAACATGAAGCTGGGCTGCCATGAGTCGCCCGCAACGGCGTAGGCTGCAGCCCCTTCTGCAGTGGGCTGCCATAAAGCTATCGTGAACCAGCGTGAGTAGCCATCCAATGGCCGGCGAGCGACTGCCTCACCCGGGAAGAGTTCAATGATAATACCAACATGGACCAGTGAAGCAACGTCCTCCACAACTAGACTGAAGAACAAAAGGACAGCAACTTGTCTGTTCCCCTTCTCCAATTCCCCAAAGCTGTTTCCGTCCCCCAATTCCCCAATAAAATCTTTAAAAAAAAAAAAAAAAGACTGATAATCCAATCAAAAACGGGCAAAAGATATCTGAATAGACATTTCTCCAAAGATGATGTACGAACAGCCGATAAGCACATGAAAAGCAGCTCAACATTATTAGCCAACAGAGAAATATAAATCAAAACCACAAAGAGATTACCACTTTACATCTGTGAGGATGTCTAGAATCAGAAAGACAGCAAGAAGGGCTGGCAACAAGATGGAGAAATTGGAACCTTCATACACTGCTGGTGGCAACATAAAATGGTATAGCTCCTTTCAAAAACAGGCAGTTCCTCAAACAATTAAACATGCAGTTATTATATGACCCAGAATGCTAGGTATATACTGAAGAAAAAATGAAAATATGTACACACAAAAACTTGTTTATAGCAGCATTATTCACAAAAGACGAAAACAACCCAAATGTTCAACTGATAAATGGAGAAACAAAATGCAGTATATCCATACAATGGAATATTATTTGGCCATAAAAAGGAATTCAGTGCTGATAACATGCTATAATATAGACAAAACCTTGAAAACATTTTGCTAAGTAAAAGAAGCCAGTCACAATAGATCACATATTAAAGGATTCCATTCCTATGAAAATCCAGAATAGGGAAATCTAAGACAGGCATAAATTAGGGGTTGCTTAGAATGGGAGTTGAGGGGATATGAGATGACAGCTAAAGAATATGGGGTTTCTTTTTGTGTTGATAAAAATGTTTTAAAAACTGTTGATGATTGTCTGTATCTGTGAATATACAAAAACCCAATAAGTTATGTATTTTAAATGGGCCAATTGTATGGTACATGAATTACATTTCAATAAAGCTGTTAAAAAACAACAGCTACTAGGCTTAGTGTCAGGAATAATTTACATTCTTATTAGGTTGTATTAAGTATTATTTTCACTGTACCCTAAAGCACTATTTTTAAACTGTAATTAACACCATATACCAGACAGCTTCATAGTGAGATACTTGTGAGGTTGCAAATAAAAATAATAAAGTGAAACCAGAGAGAAGAAATAAAATCATCTATTTCCAGGGACATAAATCAACAAAAGACCTATTCCTAGAAAGATAGTTTCATGACGTTTTAAATGAAAAAGTTTTTTTACATAAGAATTCTAGAATAATTTAAACGGAACATTTCTATGACCAAATTTTAAAAATATTCTTTCATGAATTATCTTTATTGTAATGATTATGAAGCATTTTCCCCCTTGGACAGTAATAAAACTATACGCTATATTTTATTTTTTATTTATGTATTTAAAAAGTCTTTTGATTGGGGAACAGCCATGGTCATTGGTTACACATTGGTTTTTTTGTTGTTGTTTTTTAAAGATTATTTTTTATTGGGGAATTGGGGGGGTGGGGTGAGAACAGCGCTGGGGAATTGGGGAAATGGGAACAGACAAGTTGCTGTCGTTTTGTTCTTCAGCCTAGTTGCAGAGGACGTTGCTTCACTGGCCCAAGTTGGCACCATCATTGCGCTCTTTCCTGGGCGAGGCAGATCAGTCTCCGGCTTCTGGGCGGCCGCTCACTGCAGCTGCTGGCTACACACGGTAGCCCATGGCAACCCACTGCAGCAGGGGCTGCAGGCTATGACATCGCTGGTGACTCATGGCAGCCCAGCTCCAGGTTGAGCTGTTGTTCAGCATCTTAGATGTTTAGGGCAGTGTCACTGGCCTGCATATGTGGGATCCGAACCGGGGCCCTCTGGCGTCCCAAGCCAGTTCTTAACTATTGCGCCACTCGGCCGGCCCGGTTACACATTGTTTTCATGCTACAATGGCATAGTTGACTCTTTTAAGGAGGGAGCAGCTCACAGTGGCCCATGCGGGGATCGAACCGGCAACCTTGGTGTTATCAGCACAATGTTCTAACCAACTGAGCTAACCAGCCATCCCCATATGCTCTATTTTAACTATCCACCTTACCCACTAGATATCCCTCACTCCCAGAAGGAAACAGCAAGTGATAAATACAGACAAGGGAGAACTGAAGAAATGTTTTTATTAGCAATTACTAATAATGAAATAAATTATAAAGTATATATAACAGTGGTATGTACTTGTAGTGTTTGAAACATCAATATCAATGCAAGAGGCACATGATCTTAACTAAAAGACCTGTCCTTTTCTGAAGCACAGCATCCCAAATTATTATAAAATCATTAAGTTTAATTAGCAAAGATAAATGACATACACTCCCTGTTCTAAAACAACTTACTGTCTAGGAAGGGAGCTAACCAAAGTCTGTTAGGCAAACTGAGTATTATCTTTTAAAAATGTCACTATCATTTAAAAAACAAACGAAAAAGGCAGAAAAAACAACTAAATTAAAGGA